AAGCTAGTTTGCCTTCCTTCGGGAACCCGTGCATTCTAGTCTCTCACCAAAGGCTGTCCAAGGGAACTTCTGTCAGCCATCCCTTCCATCTCTGCACAGAAAGGACGACTCATTCGCCCATGCCGCAAAGGAGAAAGCCGATCTTTTATGCTCTATCTTTGCGTCCAACTCGACTATAGATGACGGGGGGAATACACCGCCGACCATCCCGCGGTGTAAGTGCTCCATGCCGGATGTGCGATTTACACAGCGCTCGGTTCGTAAAGCACTCTTTTCCCTGGACGTCAGTAAGTCGAGTGGGCCTGATGGAGTCCCTCCCATTGTGCTGAAGACGTGTGCTCCGGAGTTGGCACCGGTTTTAGCGCGTCTTTTCCGGTACTCCTATTCCCAAGGCGTACTCCCGAACTCATAAAAAAGACGTTCGCTCAGATCCGTCTAAGTACAGGCCTATCACTATCACCTCCTGGTACTCAAAAATAATGGAAACAGTTATTAACTGCCAGCTCATGCGGTACCTTGAGGATCACCAGCTGATTAGTGACCGCCAGTACGGTTTTCGTCGAGGTCGATCAGCTGGTGATCTTATGGTCTACCTGACTCAAAGATGGGCGGAGGTAGTAGAGTCCAAGGGGGAGGCATTGGCCGTTAGTTTGGACATAGCGAAGTCCTTCGATCGCGTCTGGCACAAAGCGCTTCTTTCGAAGCTCCCTTCCTATGGGCTTCCCGAGAAATTGTGCAAATGGATCACCAGTTTCCTTGCTCATCGGAGCATCAAGGTCGTAGTAGACGGTGCATCCTCTGATTTCAAGCCTATCAACGCTGGTGTTCCACAATGCTGCGTGCTATCACCAACGCTGTTTCTCCTGCATATCAATGATATGTTGCAAACTAGTAACATTCATTGCTATGCAGATTACAGCACTGGTGATACCTTATCTACCGGCCGTGCCAATATTTCTCGGGAAAACGTCGCCGAGTACCGGGACAAACTTGTGTCTGAAGTCAAGTCTTTGCTGAACGAAGTCTCGGATTGGGGGCGACTAAATCTAGTCCAGTTCAATCCCTTGAAATATCGAGACATATCGAATAGTGTGCAGTTTCGTGGTCACTTGGAAGGGAAGGCCAAACTGGCCTCTAAAAAGCTTGGCGTGCTCAGCAGAGCGAGACAGTATTTCATGCCGGCACATCGCTTGCAACTTTACAAACCGCAAATCCGGACTCACACGGAATACTGTTTTCATCTCTGGGCCGGAGCACCCCAGTGCCAGCTCCTTCCACTTGACCACATCCAGCGCAGAGCGGTTCGAATCGTCGACGACCGAGTTCTTTCTGATCGGCTGGATACACTGACAAAACTCGCGTTACCATCCATACCATCTGGATTATTGGCGGTCCACCACTGTGCGATTTAGAAGAAGTTTTCTCCATCGCACAACTTCCTTGTGGAATCAATTACCACAAGCGAATTTTCCGGACCGATACGACTTAGGAACCTTCAAGAAAAGAGCTTACACCTTTCTAAAAGGCCGGCAACGCATCTGCAATTCCCCTGGCGTTGCGGTTGTTCATGGGCGGCGGTAGTCACTTACCATCAGGTGAGCCGCATGCTCGTTTGCCCTTTCTTCTATATAAAAAAAAAACAATTGAAAAATGGCGGTAAAGTGTTTTTACAGTTTATTTTTCTTTGTCATGTCCTAGATGTATTGATATTAAAACCAGCCAGATACATACAAACAGCACAACCAAAGAGATTTTTCTTCAATTTTAATCAAACAAAATACGAAGAAACTTATTCCCCGACCTATTATACTGAGTTGAAAGTGAAATACAGCTTGCTAAAAACTTCAAAATTGCGGTTGAATTTCGACCGTAATTCATATCCACACCACTAGTATACATAAATAAACATGGACAAACATCTAAATTCTGCACGCCACTGCACGGTAATGCAGTGGCGGTGTAAGCATATCATCTACCCCCGTGTGCTGTAGATGATTAAAACATTATCCACAAATAGGTTAATAATGTAAGTAAATGATTTCTTATATTTACGCGAACACTACACATTCAACTACTTTTACGGATTCTATCGCGTTTAATTGACTTATTTTTATTAAATTCCCGACGTATCGGGTGCTTTACAGCACCCACGATCACGGGGGATCGTGGGTGCTGTAAATTTAATAAAAATAAGTTAATTGAACGCGATATAATCTGTAAAAGTAGTTTTAATAAATTTCTTTATACTTTGTTTAAATCTTATCAGAAAGGAGGTTCCGTAGGGCGGACTTAATTCCTTTAGGCATTCCCTCTCGTCTACCCTGACGTAGTGGGATAATGTAATAGGTGCTATGCGTAATTAAAATTAGTTTAAAAATAATGTTCAAATTAAACTAATAAAACAAATTATTATATGATTTTATTCCATAAACACAAACCAAAAATCCCTGATATTAATGAACTATAATGTCACTTATAACGTAAATGATATATTATATATAATAATAATAAAACTATAATATATACATAATAAAACTAATTTTATGGATTTTATCGTGTTTATTTTTAACTTTTTTAAACACAGAGCATGGAGCTGTTAAGAGCTCAAAACGTCGGGAATCATAATAAACGCGATATAAATCTGTAAAATTTAATTTTATTCGATCAAACATCAAAAACTAAAAAAAACGAAAATTAAAAATAAATAGAAAACTTAAAGCATTTTTTACATATTTTTACAATAATACTAGAAACATGTAAACATAAGTAATATTTCTATCAATCAATTGAAAAAATCCTTGTGCTTATGAGCGAGCAGTTTACTAGTTTAGTAATCGGAATGGCGGATTCTAACCCACGGGATTTTACTAAAATAAGTTAAGGTTAAGCGTACAGACTGAAACTAAAATCATTTTAGTTTCAGTCTGTACGCTTAACCATTAAGCAATTTTTTTTAGATAAAAAAAAATTATTTCATTTATATCGTCAATAATTTATACTGTCCCATGGATTTTTAAACTCATATTTTATATCGATAAAGAGAATCCACTAGCCAAAGGTCCCAATGGTCGCTTTCATAAATATACAGAGCGGGAAATGTCAATTTTTTTTATAATACATATAATTTTAAAATATAATAAATAACATAAAAACATAATAATTTAATATAAAAATATAATTCTATAATTCTTTATTAGTTTCCAATGGATTCAACCGGAAGTCACCAAGTATAGGGAATTCCGCTGAGACCACACAGATGTGTAAATGTATCACTATTGATTATAAGCCGAATGTATTTTCTATAATAATATTTCATTAAAAGTTACTAAATAATGTCATACTGAAAAACATAACGCAGTTGTAATGTGTTTAAGACGACAGTACGAATGACAAACGATTTCCAACAGAGTTACATAATCACACTGCCATTTAATATTATCCATTAAGTCAAAATAAATTTCTTATTTGTATGCTGTTAATACTAATGTGTGATAGATACTACCTGTGTGGATAAAGAATGGGATTAATAATGAATACCTATATCATGGGAGTGCATAAAAGTAACTAGTCCGCCATATTGGATTTCGAATGACGTCACCTAGCTAACCATGCATTGTCATCCAAACTAAATGTGAATGCAAAATTTCAGCTCAATCGATGGGATATAACTGTATTTACAATTCAGTTGCAAGATATCACCGATATATACAAACATACAAGTTAAATAAAGGCTTGTAAAAATAGGAGCTCATCGAGGCTGTACTGCCAGCAACCTTACCACCTTATATCGTTATATTAAAATTATAATTAAACTTTTTTTACTAGAATCAAATTATATATTTGCATGTCACTGGAGAAATATGCTTGTACTATCTTTAATCATAATGTCTGTTAACCACCATATTTCTAGAAAATAAATTATTATTATTATTATTATTATTACAAATAACGAAATTTTATCAGATAAGTTACGATAGTTCATTTGTTTAATTTATTAAAATGAATTAGAAATTAATTATTAACTGAATATTATAGTAAGGAGGCAAATAATATAATATTTTTTAATAATTTAATCATTTAGACCACACATACAATTTATTCAATACTTAAAAGTATACTGAACAGCAGTTTTTATATATTATTACTAGGACCTGAAATGAGAAGCACAAATAACGCTTATCACAACGCATGATTTTTTTGCTGGCGTTACTGACGGGTGTGAGTATAGAGCCCGTAGCAAAACAAAGAGGAGACGGCCTAAGTAAATGTGCACTGTGATTCTAACTAGGTCCTGACGTCATCACAATGGGCGTGGCTTTAGTTAGTACAATGTCAGCGTTCGTCCTGTGCGCTTATGTGTAGAAAATCGCAAATCGGTGTATTTTGGTGGTATTAAGAAGAAAAGGATGAAGTGTTGCGTTTTATCGTTTAAAAATACTCAGATAGATGCTCTGACGCTATGGGTGGCATCACATTTCATTTGTAAGTAATTTTATACCTAATTTATTAAACTAGTTCTAGAAATATCTCTTTGCGTCAGCTTTTCCGACACTAGATGGCGACACTTTGTGTCATGGGAACTAAAATGTACGTAGAGCTCAGTATTAGTAAAATAATCATAAGTCGCTAAATGTTATTTTTATAGTTTTTATAATCATTTTGTGAACAGACCGCCATCTATCGTCAAGGTAGCTAAACTACATTGCAACATCGATATGGAACGAATAGTTAAGTGGGTGGGGCTTAACAGCCCCTCACCTCGCAAATTGTCACGCGTTGTTACATAGTGAAATCTAATTACAACACCTCCTCTTTGTATTTGCTCCGTGGTATAGTCAGCCACAATGTGCAAGCGAGAGGTGAATAGAGGGGACGCCATTTATAATCCCATTCTTTATCTGTGCAAATAAGTAGTACATAAGACTATCTAGGTAGATACAACGAGTAAGTCAGATCAGTTGTCATGTCAATCATCAAGCTACAAGAACAACATTCTGAATTTAAGAAGTAGTGATACTAGAAACCACTCGACCTCCTCGAACCTTCAACACTTCTTCAATGACACTTATAATGATCAATACAAGCTCCTTTCGAATATTCACGGAAGTCAACACAATCTTAAAAGCTCTGTAATAATCCTCTGGCTCGAGCCTCCGTAGGAAGTTGACAATTATGTAGTAGAGCTCTTTTAAGTAATATTTGACCCACTCCCAAGCTTCTCGAAGCGAAATTACGGCTGAAAAAACAAAGAATCAGTGATAAATATTTCGTCAATTGTTAGCTGACTTTAATGATTCTTTTTATGAACAGGTTACAAACGGGGTCCTATATAAATTTGGAAAAAAATTCCATCCCTTATGATGGCAAAACAGGAGATGAAGTTTTTAATGTGGCTATTTAGAGGACATTTAGATTTGTGATATACCTTAGTTACTCAAAAAAGTTGAAAAAAAAACTTTTATTAACAAATGAAAATCGCCTTTCTATTACTAAAAAGTTAAATAAAGTCGACGCCGCCGGTAAAATGTTTTTTGAATAAAAACACCTACAACGCTATTGAACATTATTAATATGTCCTGTATTTGTAACCACTGCTTAAAATGCTTGTGTTAGTAGTTCACGACGGTAATCGAATGGCGGATTCGCACCCACGACCTTTTGAGTTCGCGGTCCGCACCCTGCTTATTTGACTACTGTCGCTTATTTTATCCTTTTTAATTGTTTGAAGTTTTAATAAAAGTTAATTTTTCTTTCACCTTTATCAGCCCATTGTGCCTGCTACAAAACATGGTCCTCTTTCATTGGTGGAAAGGTTTTCCGTAAGCACCACGGTTAGTAGGCGGATTGGCGATGGTAAAACCAGATGTCCCGCACTTTGTACTCTGCTATCACATCGCCATAGGTGTAAATAACCAGATTTATTTACACCTATTGGAAATCATGATGTGATGTCATTCCCACAGTCGCCTCTTATAACGACCACCAGACGAAATGACGTGATGAATTCCCTTAAGACACCAAGATGCGGTAGTCCCATGTTTTTTTTTTATATAATAAAGCCGAGCGTCCACCGAAAACTAAACTAACGTAGTTTATCTTAGCTCGCAAAGCTGAGCCACCTTTTCATACATGTGCGTCCACCGCAAACTATGCCAGCGAAGCTAGGTAAAATAGCCAAACTAAGTCAAACTAACATAGTTGTGTAGGCCGATCCGAAACTACGCGAACTAAGCTAAGCGCCTCTCTCCCCCCTTACCTTTCCCCTCTGGCACCGATCGCTTAGTATTGTTTGTTTTGGCTTATTTTTCGGTGGACATGCAATGATTTTCCAGGTTAGCGTTGCTTAATTCACTGAGCCTAGTTTTCACATAGTTTACTTCGCGTAGGACGTTCGGCTTGTGTGTAACAAACATGTGGCCCATAGACATTCACATCTATCCTCAATTAAGAATAAAAATACAGATACGTTGAAACCCCCAAAGACTAAAACAGAATGTATTGTGTAGAATTCGCTTATTGATTAATAAAATAAATGAAGATTTAAACTTATTGATTAAGAAAATAAATGCTGATTTAAAATAGCCTTTTTTGTACGTGGTAGAGCCATGCTGCAGCCATATTAGTAGTATAGTTGTAGCAAGAATAGGTCGGCTCGATCGGGGAAGGATTACACTCTCACTGAATACCAACGTAAAATAGCAGCTCAATGCTGCTGTGGTGTTCGTATGGCGAGTGTAAAGAACCGGAAACTGTTTTTTCTGGAAACAAGGCATTCCATCTTAGTCATCACGGGTGACAATGCATCTGCATTTTGATTCATAGTTGAGGATATATGCAGATGTTTACGGGCCGCAGCAACCACTTACCATCACGCGAACTGTGTGCTCGTTTGTCACCTTAGCCTATAAAAAAAATACAGTACAGTATATGCACAAGTTGATGATTACAACACGAATGCCCAATTATATTTAACACTAGTATTAGCATAATATAGCTGCAGCCTGGCTCAACCAAGTTAAAAACTCTACTCTACTCTACTCTCACGCTCATAATCATTATCATCATCATTACAGCCCTTCACAAGTCCACTGCTCAACATAGGCCTCCCCAAGGAATACCAAACAGCACGGTCCTGACTCCTGAGCCACCTGCATCCATAGACTTCCTGCATGTCTTACCAGGTCGTCACTCCATCTAGTGGGGGGTCGCCCTACACTTCGCCTGCCAGTACGAGGCTGCCACTCTAGAACCTTTCTTCCCCATCGTTTGTAGGTTCTTCGAGCTATATGGCCGGCCCATTGCCACTTCAGCTTACTAATACGTTGGGCTATATCGATTACTCTGGTTCTACTGCAGATATCCTCATTTCTAAGTTTATCACTCAGAGGAACCCCGAGCTTAGCCCTATGGACCTCAGGACCATGTCTCAGATCCATAAGTCGTCACTGGCAACACGCACTGGTTGTACACTCTCGTCTTCAAGTTTTGAGGTATACCTGACAAGTAGATGTGTTGTAATTTCCCAAACGCTGCCCAGTCGAGTTGAATCCGTCGATTGACCTCTCGGTCGAAGTTGCACTTACCTAGTCAGACTATTTGTCCCAGGTAAACAAACTCGTCAGCAAATTCGAGCTTAGTGCTCCCAACTACTACCGGCATAGATAGGTGTGACATGGACATTACACATGATCTTTGTTTTGTCCATGTTCATCTTAAGAGCTATCTGTTGGGAGACACTAGAATAGAATAAAATAGAATAATAATAATAATAATAATAATAATTCTTTATTTCCAAAAAGGTACATAGTACAACCAGATATTTGCTTAACACTTAATAAAGCTAATTTTGTACATATATTTGAAACAGCATCTGCAGCCGAACTAGGAGACCTGTGCATCAGCTGTCAGCGCCATATCCCCACCGTTAATTTACATGAATATTAGGATGCAAGCAAAAGTTAATTAATTAATATTGTTTAACGAGTTTGTACCTTATGCTAACATAGCCTAGGTACAATGAAATTTAATGGATCACATGTTATGTTCCATATGCTAAGTTATTACTTATACTATATATAATATATATAAGGCACAAAAAAGAAAATAATTTATACTAATAATGTCATTCCTCTCTCCTAAGATGTGTAATGTATGACTGTAAGAAGTATTTGTGTAATGAGTGTAATGTGTGTGAGCAATTTAAGGAGTCGAGTGTGTAAAATGTGTGTGTATATGTTTGTGTGTGTGTGTGTGTGTGTGTGTGTGTGTGTGTGTGTGTGTGTGTGTGTGTGTGTGTGTGTTTTTTTTGATATTATTACTTTTATACGGGTAGCATTGTGTGTGAGTTATATAAGAATTTATGTTTAATTCTGAATACTAAGAAGGTTTTCAGTTTCATTATAATTTAATTTTTGTAGGTAAATCTGTACAGTTTTTTTACAGTCTACTTTATTAAGGTGGTAAATGTCTAATGTTTTATTTAGTTTATTATATAAGTGTGGTCCTAAAAATGCAAAGAATCTTCTTATAAAAGTTGTTTTAAAATTAGTTGTATCTACAGAAAATTTCCTGCGTTTATTTAAGTTCGTTGGGTTGTATAGCAATAAACTATGCTGTTTCTGAATGATCGTTAATATAAACAGTTGTCTTACCGTAAGGACCTGACAGTTATCATAAAGTTGTGATGTAGGGTATAGGAAAGGTTTAAATGTTGCCACTTTGAGAATAGCACGTTGAGAGATCTCAATATTTTGTAACACCGTTTTAGAAGCTCCACCCCACGTTGATATGCAGTATGTTATAATAGACTGACATAAAGCTAAGTAAACTCGTTTTAATATATCTGGATCCAAAACGTGTCTAATAGTTTTAAAAATATATATAAGTTTATGAATTCTTCTGCTAAGTGTGTTAATGTGTTGTTTAAAATTTAAATTACTATCAATTATAACCCCCAGATATTTAATATATTCAACAGACTCAAGTGAAAGGCAGGAACAGCTATTGTGTCTTGTTGAGCAATTATATGAATGAATCACTAAGTTAAAATTTTCAAGATTACGACTAGGTTTTCTTAATGAAAAGACTATATATTTTGTTTTCCTAATATTGAGTGAGAGTTTATTACTGTAAAGCCAATTAGTAATTGCATTTATACCTGCCTGTGCTAATAAGAATACATCTGTCCATGTATCCGCCGCAAATATCAGAACAGTGTCATCTGCATATGAAATTATATGTCCCTGAGAGAGATCAAATTTTGTTAAATTGTTAATATAAATAAGAAATAAGGTTGGTCCGAGTATACTTCCTTGTGGCACTCCATGGGTTACTAATAGATCATTGCTATTAATATTATTTACACCAACGCATTGATATCTCTCAGAAAGATAACTTTTAAATAATTTGAGTTGAATGCCTCTGATACCGAGATTTTCTAGTCGTTTTAATAGTATTTTTATTGAAACGGTATCGAATGCTTTGGCCAAATCTAAGAAAACTGAGATACACTTTTTTCCACTATCTAAATTCGATGATATAAAATCTGTAAGAGTATGAACGGCATGCTCTGTCGATTTGCCATGTCTAAAACCAAACTGTGTATTTGACAGTAACTTATTTTTCTCCAGATATTTTGTAAGTCTATTATTTATAATTTTCTCTAAAAGTTTTGACAAAGCAGGTAAAATAGAGATAGGTCTATAATTACTTATACAGGTTTTGTCACCATCTTTAAAAATAGGTCGAATTACGGACTTCTTAAGATATCTAGGGAATACACCATAATTTAGACATTGGTTAAATATGTAAGTTAAAGGAGGTATTAACAAATATTTAAAATTTTTAATAAATATATTTGAAATTCCATCCCAACCAACCGAGCATTCTGTTTTCAAATTGTCAATTAATTGTTCTACTTCACTTTCATCCGTGTCCAATAAAACAAATGAATTTAAATTATAATTTGATTTTTTACCAATGTCACTATTAAAACTTTCACTATTATTATTTCCTATATTAAAACTCTCTGCCAAACTTTTACCTACATTTACAAAATAATTATTTATAAGATTAACAGATAATTGTGGCGTACTGGATATATTCAAAAGTTCTCTGTTATACCCTTTATTTTTCATGTTACCTATAATATCAGTAAGTACGTCCCATAGCATTTTATTATTATTTTTAGCCATATTCACTCGCTCTTTTTCATAATTTCTTTTTATCTTTTTTAGCAGTGCGTTACAGTGATTACGATATGGTCGGTATATAATTTGATCACTTTCACTCTCTGGAAAACGTCTGGCCCTCTTATGTAGTTTATCACGGTGACGAATACATCTAAGAAGTCCAGTCGTAATCCAAGGTTTGATGATCTTTTTTTGTCTTGGCAACTTTATTAATTTAGTATTAACTTCAATGACTGTTTGTATTTTATTAACTAAGTATTCAAGAGAAGTATTTGGATCTTTAACATCATATATGGGTGAAATGTCAATGTTTTGCATATCTAAACGAAGTTTGTCATGATCAATTTTTCTGATAGTAGTTGTAAAAAACTGTTGACGTTGTTTCTTTTTAATACATAGAATTACAGGTTTGTGATCAGTAATTGATGTTTGAGGAACCATAGTAAGTGAAGGATTATTCGTTTTTAAAAGAACATGATCAATACACGAACCGCTCGCGTCACGTGTTACTAGAGTATGCGTAGGTAACAACCCATGGAATGCTGTCAATTGCAAATACTTATCGGAATTAATATCTGTTTTATCACTCTTAATGTTAATATTTATATCTCCTATTATAATTATGTTTTTATGTTTCGAATATTTCTGTAGTACTCTATCTAAAGAGACAAAAAAGCTTTCTAAGTTTTTATATGACGGTGATCTATATATTGATATTATGACAATATCATTCAATGTTGTTATCATACAATTCCCTTCTTGAAAATGAGGCTCTTCAGCCGTGAACAAATGTTTTTCTTTTATATATATTACTAATCCGTCATTCTGGTTATTATTATAATTGGTGGAGCATTAATTTTAGGTAAGTTGTCCTTATTAAGCAGCCAGCATTCACTTAGTACAATAACATCAAAATCTATTTTTAATCTAGTTAACAATACTTCAAAATCTGTCATATTACAGTTAATACTTCGTATATTCTGTGTAATAATTGTGAAGTTGGATTCATTAGATGACAAGTACTTATAACAATCTTCAACGTCACAAACTATCGATTTCGATACCGTAACTTTATCTAAGTTAATGGTGAAACTTTGAGCGTTATCGCCTTTTATTTATATTTATTATTTTAAATTTTTCTAACAAAATCGCATTATTGATTAAATAATATCTTTTATTATATAAATTAATTGAAAAATGTAACTGTAAGTTGCATATATGAAATGAGTGAATATGGTTTATTGTAAAATATACGTGTAATTTAAAATATGATTGTGTTAGTTGTAATGTAATGAAAGTATGTGTGCATAATGTTTGAATTTTGTTTGTGTATTGTGTGTAAACTGTGACTATGTGTATTATAAGGTATAAGGTTAAAATAAACTTTATTCTTACTATTATAGTTAAAAAGAAAAGAAAGGATGCGAAAAAATCGAATCTTAATCTTAATACTAGTCATTCGGTCTTCCGTAGATTTTCTAAATCTGTTTCATTATTTATTCTAATTTGAGAAGAATTTTCATTCTTGCGTATGTATACAATACCTCTAGATGTCCAGCAGAATAAATAGTTATGATTTTTCTGGAAAATTCTGGCTTGATAGAACAGTTTTTGAGTATTTTGTGTTAACGTCTCCGTGACATATATGGGGATGTTTTTTTGTGAGTAATTTAAATGCGAAGTATTTAATTTCTCACTTTTTGGTTTCGTTTTATTAAATCTTTTTACTTCATTTAACATCTTTTCTTTAATGATGACTGAATTGAATTCCACTATAACCGGTCTAGTCCCTGTTTTAGAGTAAGTTCTATACACGTCTTTTATGTCCGAATCCTGCAAATTTACGTTCAAATACTTCCCTAATCTTTTTACAGTGCTACATAGATTTTCTTTTGTTTCTTCATTGTTTTTAGGTATGTTTCTTATTTCTATTCCTGAACATCTAGACTTTCGTTCCATATTTTCTATTTTCTCTTGTAGTTGTTGTATAATATATCTATCCTGCTTTTTCTCTGCCTCAAGAACAGATATCCGTGATAAAAACTCATCATACTTGCTTGACATAGTATCAACGCTCTTTTTTAATTCATCGTTCTGTTCCTTTATACTAGAAACTATAGTTTGTAAATCTTTAAAAAGTTTTGCTTGTTCATTCGTATAAACTGAAAACATTTCACTCATATAAGACATAATATTAGGATTCATTCCGTCATGTTTCCTTTTTTTACGCTCGGTGACATTTAACGTAAGCGATGGAATATCAGGCGCAGATTCACAATGAAGTATCGTCGTCCGTTCCATCGCGTCGATTGCGCGCGTATGCGGTGTATCATCGGAGCACATAGGCACGGGCGAGGCGGGCGGCGGCGTGCGGTTGATCGGCATTGTATACCCAACCGGTTTTGAAGTAAAAGACGCCTCAACGTTTAATTATCAGGGCAATATGAGTTAGGAAGTGTGAACACAATGGATTTGCGAACTCGTACCCGTAATGCAACCGTACAAATAAAAATATAACCGTCTCTTTTCTTATTGTGTTGCAAACGTGTGGTGTCTTATGCTGTGTCCTATTTATTTGTTGAGTAAATGTGATGATTTTATTCACACGTATAATTTAGTCTGTTGTAATCACTTCCGTAGATGTCACTAGCACTTCGTAAAACTCCTGGTGCTTTATGCACTCCTAATATTTTATCATTATTTTGTCACAACATTTATTAGAAAATACAAGTACTATTTACTTACTTACTATTACTATTACAACAAACGATAAACACGTCTTTACTCTGTGGAAGTCCGGGGGGAAGGGAAAAAAAAAAGAATAATTTTTATTCAATATACATTACATGTGTAATTCTTATTGAAAGTCATTGTTTACTTTACCAATGGTTCAAAAAAAACCCTCTGTCCTGGGAAGAACCAGCAAGAAACCCAGCGGGACTTTTTTTTAAATAAATTTTACTATATAAATGATTACGAACTATTTACAAAATTTATTTTAGAACCTGCTTGGAAGCGACCACCTACCTCATTATTCCTCACCTCACCTCACTATTGTGGTCATTGGGCATAGTACTTAGATCCTCCAGCGTTTCTGCCATAAGGACTACATCGTCGGCAAACCGAAGGTGAGTGATGTACTCGCCATTGATATTAATACCATATCCATATCCATATACCAGTGCAGCGGTGAAGTTTCGGGGATATAACGTCACCCTGTCTTAGACCTCTCTGCAGTTGGATAGGTTTCGTACTCTGGTTCTGTTCTCGGATAGCCATCGTAGCCCTACTGTACAAACACTTCAGCACTTTGATATACCGACAGTCAACTTGGAACCGATATAGGGACTCCAGCGTCGCCCAAATTTCGACGGAATCAAAGGCTTTTTCATAGTCTTCATAGTGGCAGATTGTAATCCTCGGTCTTCGCCACAATTTGTCGAAGGGTATGTATGTGGTCTATGGTGCTAAAGCCTTTTCGGAAACAGATTTGTTCAGGAGGCTGGAAGTCGTCGACTGCGTGCGAGACGATTCGTAATGACACTCGTAAACAGCACGTAGACGCGGCTCAGAAGGGAAATCGGTCTGTAGTTCTTCAAGAGTGTTGTTGCCTTCTCATAATACAATTCCTTAAATTACAGCGGTTAAAATTGTCATAACCAAACAAGGATTGAATTCTTTATATCAAAAATTATGTTCTTGATTAATTCAGATGTCATTGATTACAGCCAACAAAAGTTTACTGCTGAACATAGGCCTCCCCCATAGATTACTTCATAGTGGGGATTTTGCCATAGTTACCACGATTGGCAGACGAAATAAAAATATGTTTTAAACTTTAGCCTGAATAAATTATAGATACACAAATTTCTTCATATCAATATACTTACTGGATACTGCCAGTCCTGTAACTCCACCAACTCCTGCTCCAATAGCAGCTCCTACTTTACCACCATTATATCCACCAATTGCAGTCCCGATTATTGCAAAGCCTGTAGTAAATATTGCAGCGTCTTTTATGTTCCACCTTAGGCGAATGTTAAACTCATCCGCTGAAACGAGAAATGAAATATATCTATCAACATAAGTAAGTTTTTGTTCGTCAAATGTCTTTTTTATACCTACTACCGTTTTGAAACGAGGTTCCTCTGACCAGAGAAGCGGCATGTGCTTATGTATACACTAAGGGCAAAAGAAACTTCGTTGGTATCCCCTTTTTTAAGATTATATTTCAATAATATCTCACAATGGAATGTGCACGTTTTTTAAGTTATTGCACTTTATTGGAAAGATCATTATCGAACTCATCATTGTCCTGTAATTACTTAGTTAAGGAAGACAGTATTACACACTTCTCTTATAACAATTCCCTTTCTTGTAATATTAAGTTGGAGTGAACGCATTAATTTTCAGTGTAGCTAGAGTGATTTGTGAATAAATAAGGGCTTATAATCTTACGTTCACCACATGTACTAAGTGGCATGTACAATTGGTGCTAAGGTGAACTTATTTGTTATAAGATGGTCATTGTTACACAAATGGTCTCACACAGTGTCATCATCATTGAAAAGTTACATTTTAAATTAATGTTTTTTTTTTTATAGGAGAGGGGGCAAACGAGCATGCGGTTCACCTGATGGTAAGTGACTACCGCCGCCCATGAACAACCGCATCACCAGGGGAATTGCAGATGCGTTGCCGGCCTTTTTAAAAGGAGTAGGCTCTTTTCTTGAAGGTCCCTAAGTCATATCGGTCCGGAAAAATCGCTGGTGGTAAACTATTCCACAAGGAAGTTGTGCGAGGAAGAAAACATCTTCTAAATCGCACAGTGGTGGACCGCCAATCATCCAGATGGTGTGGATGGTATCGGGAGTTCTGCCGCGATGTGTGTTCGTGAAATTTGGCGGCTGGGATTAATCCGAACAATTCCTCAGAGCACTCCCCATGGTAAATGCGAAAGAAAATGCAAAGAGATGCAACATCTCTTCGCAGTGCCAATGAGTCGAGCCGATCGGAAAGGACTCGGTCGTCGACGATTCGAGCCGCTCTGCGCTGGATGCGGTCAAGTGGAAGGAGCTGGCACTGGGGAGCCCCAGCCCAGAGATGGGAACAGTATTCCATGTGAGGCCGAACCTGCGCCTTGTAAAGTTGCAGGCGTTGAGCTAGCATGAAATACTGTCCCGCTCTGCTGAGCACGCCAAGCTTTTTAGAGGCCAATTTGGCCTTCTCTTCCAAGTAACCACGAAACTGCACGTCACTCGATATGTCGACGCCGAGGATTCCGATACTGGCTGAGGCAACAAGGGGAGTACCTTGAAACTGAGGAGATACGACAAAGGGGCTCTTTTTAGCGGTAAACACGCAAACTTGTGTCTTCTGAGGATTAAACTGGACTAGATTTAGTCGCCCCCAATCCGAGACTTTGTCCAGCAAAGACTCGACTTCAGACACAAGTTTGTTCCGGTACTCGGTGACGTTTTCCCGAGAAATATTGGCACGGCCGATGTATAGATCATCACCAGTGCTGTCATCCGCATAGCAATGAATGCTACCGGCTTGCAACATATCATTGATATGCAGAAAAAACAGCGTTTGTGATAGCACGCAGCCTTGTGGAACACCAGCGTTAATAGGCTTGTAGTCGGAGCATGCACCGTCTACAACGACCTTGATGATCCGATCTGCAAGAGAGCTGGTGATCCAATTGCATAATTTCTCGGGAAGCCCATAGGAAGGGAGCTTCGAAAGAAGCGCTTTGTGCCAAACCCGATCGAAGGCCTTCGCAATGTCCAAACTAACGGCCAATGCCTCCCCCTTGGACTCTACCGCCTCCGCCCATCTATAAGTTAAGTAGACCAGAAGATCACCAGCTGATCGACCCCAACGAAAACCGTACTGGCGGTCACTAATCAGCTGGTGATCCTCAAGGTACCGCATGAGGTGGCAGTTTATAACGGATTCCATTATTTTGGAGAACAAGGGGGTGATGGCGAAAAAGATGGCTGACAGAAGTTCCCTTGGACAGCCTTGGCGAGAGACCAAAATGCACGGGTTCCCGACCCGTTCCGTTCCCGTTCTCGCCAATTCTGCCTATATGCTCTGACTTTGCCTTGGCAATAACTCTTTTGAAGGACCTGGAGGCGAAGTTATACTTCTTTTTAAGTATGCTGGTGTTTCCATCCCGAGTCGCCGAAGCCGCAGCCCAGGCTTGATAACACTCCTGCTTACTGCGTAAAGCAGTCTTACAGGAGCGACCAAACCAAGGCTGAGATCTGCCTCCGATGGGTACCACAGATGATGGAATAAATAGTTCCATTCCCTGTAGCACCACATCAGTGACAGAGTCAGCAACAGCGCTGGGATCATCCGGCGAGAAGCAAACCCGCCCCCATGGGTAGGAAGTAAAGAAAGACCGCATTCCGTCCCAATCCACCGACCTGTAATGCCAAACACGGCGGCAACCTGCAGAACGCAACCGCGAGGGGAGCGTGAGTGGCACCACACTCCGGATCAATGGTCCGAAGAGCCAAGAGGGGCATCGACGGAAACCTGATATCCGTCCGGATGAGAGGGCAGTAGAAGGTACAACAGGGAAGGTGTATGATCCTCAACATCTGGAATCCGCGTAGGCGATGTAACCAGTTGTGTCAGACCATATGCCAAGGCAAATCGGTTAAACGTGAACCGAGCCATGCGGCGTGGTGGGCGTTAAAATCGCCAAGGATCACGATCTCTGCGGATGGGACCTGTTGTAGCAAGGAATCTGTAGCCATTTGGACCTGGTCGATGAGTCGGTCTGTTTCGGCATTGCCGCTATGGGACCTATAGAGGCACACGTAGACGCGCGGATGGTCGTCGCTGTCTACGCGTAGCCAAAGGATGGACAGGTCCGAACATTCAAGACTGCCGAGGCGTCGAGAACAGATGTCCTCTCTGACATACACGCAAACTCCAGCCCGAGGCACAAAGGAGTGCTCCAATTTGTACCCCGGGTAGGAGAGATACGTAGTATCAGCCGGAGAGGACACCTGCGTCTCGGTCAGAACTTTGCCGACTCGAGATGGTAGTGGACGGCGTTTAGGTTCGAGTGAAGTCCCCTGATGTTGCAGAAATTCACGGATAGCGTGGCAGGGGTCGCCTTGGTCTTGTTGCTCAGTTTGCCCGAAGCAGTTCCGATGGGGTGGGAGGAGGGGGGGGGGGGGGATTGGGCCTCCTGTATTTTTATTAATAATTTATTTACATACACCAAACAATGCCACAGGGCTGTATTATTTAATAGTGTCATTATCATTGAAAAGTTGCATTTTAAATGAAAGTATTTTATTAATAATGTATTTACATACACCAAAACGTACGACTTTCCATTTACTCCCATCGAGTTGGGGGTTGATACGTATTTTTACAGAAAAGTTACACTATTATAAGCACACACACAAAGTTACAATATGCGGAAGCGCGTAATTTTTGAGAAAAAAGTTATTGAAAATCAATTATTCTTACATTCTTTATGTCTAATCCTACAATAAAACTGACGCCATTTTTTTTATTGTTATTGTCAATAGGGATGTCGATTCTTCCCGAAAAATATCGATTTTTTAAATAGATTCGAATTGTAAGCTGATATATCGATTCCCGAAAAATCGATTTCTAAAATATCTATATTTTTTTCATGTTTGCATTTATAATGTAAATATAAATCCATTTTATGAGAAAAAATCCCCTTCATCATAAAATATAGGGGGACTGATTCAGAAGGATTTCTGTACCTATTTTGAGACTGCTATGTCTCCGGCGCTTTAAAACCACTCTAGGGGTAGGACAGACTCGTACCAGGTGGAGTCGGGGTCAATCAATTCGGTTCTTTGACATAAGTTGAACCTAACCTATTTTATTTGTTATCTGCCCTAATTGGTACTGTTAAAATAAAACAAAATTCAATAAGAGATCATTTATTATGGTATCTTTCTTGTTTTTCATAAAATGGAATTATATTTACATTATAAATGCAAACATAAAAAATATAGATATTTTAGAAATCGATTTTTTATGAATCGATACATCAGCTTACAATTTGAATCTATTTAAAAATCGACCCTTTTCGGAAAGAATCGACATCCCTACTGACGACAATGACATTACAAAATGGCGTCAGTTTTATGGTAGGATTAGATATAAACAATGCAAGAATAATTGACTTTGAACAACTTTTTTCTCAAAAATTACGCGTTTCCGCATGTTGTAACTTTATGTGTGTGCTTATAATAGTGTAACTTTTCTGTAAAAATACGTATCAACCCCCAACTTGACGGGAGTAAATGGAAAGCTAAGCCGAATATTACATTAGTTTAGTTCATCTGTTTATAATCTTATTGATATAAAATATAATTAATATTTCAGAAAGAAACATTAATTTCTACACTTTTCTAACAAATTAATTTCCCCTGCTATGAAATCTGTCAAATATTTCATCTCATTCCAAGTTGCGCTGCCCTGCAAGCTTACTCTTGAATCCAATAACAATTTCAATCCAATGTGATGTTGACAAATTACCATACTCTCTCAAACAATTTTGTTAACATTGGATTGAAATTGGAATTGCACATGTACTGGCCAAAAATGTTGTCCTAACACATGAAGCTAGCTACGTTACAGTTCTGGAGGCAGTAAAAGTGGTGGATTAGCTTCCAAACAACTAGAGAAGACTAAATATAATTAGTGACCAATTTTCTTTATGCTTACATTAGAGATAATTTTAAAGTAATTCTTTACAAAGCGAGTAGAAATGAGTATCTTGATCATAAAAATCAAAACAAATTACATATTATTACAAATTGTTTGATTGATACTTTTGCTGTAAGTAAATAAAAGAAGACTGATACATATTTATTGGTTATTTTTACTGTATTGACATCAGATTATTTTTATTTTTATTTATATTTGAATTTATAAATGTTTGTGTGACATTGTTTTTCCTACTTAATCTTTTGCCTTTCATTTCTTTATTATATGGTCATTTTATATTATATTAAAAAAATCATCAAATGTAAACAAAAATAATTGTGTAATAAATATTTATTTAAAATTAGTACGCCTGAATTAGGCAGCATGTAATGGATGTTATATAATTTTAATTTTTAATAATAATTTTGTAATACCTACATTCTATCATACGTACGGGGAGTACGTACAATGTAGTTTATTCTCTCTCTATGCATATTATGCATATAAATAATTATGATTTTATCAAATAAAACCAGATGGAATGATGTACCATCAATGGGTGTACTTAGATGTTTTTTTTTATACATGTAAGTACAATATGATGATAAAGTTTCATGTGGTTTTTCATAGGTCAACATTATTTTCATTGCTATCACACTGACAGGTTGTTTCATCTTATCATTTTGTGCGATAGAATGACTGCTCCTACGTTTAACGTGAATATGTCTTTAAATTTGCTTCCGAAGTGGGAGGCAATTCAAAAAATTGATGATAATAAAATCGGGGGATACAGATTGGTGTTACAGCTACATATCTATCATCTACATCTACAAATTTAACTACACCACTTGATAGCTAAAGGATCAGACTTAGATTACCAATTTTTTTTAATACAATTTTTTGGAAACGCTATCGTTTTCTAATTATTAGTTGATGCATCAGTATCCTTAACTGATTCACCATTTAAAACTTCTAAATTGCATGCAACCTCAGGCATTCCACCCCCAGAATTAGGGGGAGAAAATAAATTATACATATACAAACTCAAAAAAAATTTGAAATAAAATGTTCAATTCGTTTAAAAAAATTATTTAAATTAATTTAATAAAAAAATGAAAACTGATAAAACCGCGCGCCGCATTAAACTTTATCTATTACCTTTTTTTTTCCTAGTGTGATAGTGATATTTACTTACCGAGAAATAAAACAATTTTTTCCATCCAACTCATATTAACTTCTTTTGAAGTATATGGTTGAAATCCCGAATCCATTCCGAAAAACGTTGTGACTGTGTGTTTGTTTTCGTATTTATTACGACAGGAGCTAGGATTCATCTTACTGTCTTCTAAAATATACCTACAAAGAGAACACTATTAATAACTTTTTATATAAAGCTATTAACAAAGAGTAAATAAATTATTATAAAGATTATGTTAAGTACCTATTAGCCTATTACACTACTAGAATTAGGCAGAAAGCGGAAGGTCGTGATATTATAATTATTATAATTTGTCCGAGGCTGTGAAAGAAAGGAAATAGTGATCAGGTCGTTTACCTAGTGTTAGTGTTGCCACCTCGAAGTTAAAAGCGCTAGATCCAGTAAGAATTATTGTAGTGATTCCTATATTCTATTCTATTCTATCGCATTTTACAGCCAACACATTTTTAAATTCATATTGGACATTATTTTTAGTCAAAATAGGGTTGTGAGTTCTAAGCTTTCAAATCATTCTTAAAATGAAAATATACATTTTCTATGTCCAAATTCTATTAAAGGTTTAACTCACAAGGTGATAAAATAATTTTTCATTAATTAAATTCATTTGATAAATTTTAATTTTGTGTTCATATAAAGTTTTTTTAAAGAAAAAAATGAATGATACTTAATTGAAATACAAGATTTACTACTATGATGTGAAGAGTGAGCGTTCCTTCAGCCTTTTCAGATTTTGTTTTGATGAACTTTTCGTCTAGCGCTAATGATGCTATCATGATAATTACTTATCTCTACTTCTACAAATATAGTTCTTCTCGCGCAGGAGTTAAATCATTTAAAAGATATATTCAAGACAGTAAGATTTTCTGTTTCACAACATACGAATATAACAATGCACTGAATTCTTTAATGGAATGGAACACAATAATTATATCATTTTAGAGCAAAGAGTAAAGTAACTACTATTTATTTTATATATAGCTTTAGCAATTTTGTTTTTAGATCTGGTGCTTCTTATAGCATTTAGCAGATTTTTCACAATTCCTTGATTTTATATTTTACTCGATTATTCAGCATGACACCTGTTTACACAACTTGAAGCAAAATAATAGTGTATTTTTTAATATAGAACCTGGCTACCCTTGATGAATAAACTCTTTGGTAAAATACTTTCTATGAAAGGAAATTCCCCAAGAGTGTTGTTATCAATGAACCAATATAAAATGACTACGATTTAATTGTTTCGTTTCGCCAATTAAGGCAAGCAATGGTCTTAGACCATACAGCCTAATCTAATTTGTATTTAATTCAGAAAATTATTCATAATACTGATTATGAATGAATGAGTCATATTGCGAATTCCTCGGGAGATTCTGACGACAGCTTAACACAGCGGACAGTGGATGACGAAAATATCTAAAGAGGCCTTTAGATATTTTCACCATTACTTTTCGCGAAAATCGAATAAAAGTATTGAGATATAAATCATCATCGAAACATATATGAAATCGTTTCCACTAATAGTTCATATGTGCAGACACTTTATACGCGATAATAGTACAACGTATAAAAGGGAAGCAGAATAAACATATTATCTTGTTCAAGTGCATGGCAATTACACTACAAACAAAATATTATTATTCATAAATATTATTATAATATTACTCATACACATGCAAAAAACTGGACCGAAGATAAGAGAAATATGATACGAGGTGGCTTACATTGAAAAATATGGTGTTTTATTTCTAATTTAAGACTGTTACATGACAAGTTCACGTGAGGGCATGATGTAATTAATTAATTAATTAATTTAGAAAACCAACGGCTCTTATGAATATACAATGATAATAATCCTATAAATGGTTTATAACAGCCAATTATAGGTTTCCCTGTAAAAATCTTAAATGGTATCTCCTACTCTTAATACATATCAAATAAAAACAAGTTGAAACTAGTGAACTAAGACTAAGAGGTGTGCGTATGCGCGTGCGCGCACGCACGCATATGTGTGCGTGTGTTTGTGTGTTCGTGTAGGTATGGGTCTATAGATATATAAATAAATGTTTTATCATACGTATTATTTATAATATATCAATATAAAAAAAACAATAACATACGAAAAGATATGATCATCGACTTCCTGCATGTCTTACCAGGTCGTCATTCAATCTAGTGGGTGGTCGCCCTACACTTCGCCTGCCGGTACGAGGCTGCCACTCAAGAACCTTTCTTCCCCATCTGTTATCGGTTCTTCGAGCTATATGGCCGGCCCACTTCCACTTCAGCTTACTAATCCGTTGGGGTATGTCGGTTATGTTGGTTATATTATAGAAAAATAGAATAGAATAATTTTTATTCAATATAAATCACATGTGTAATTCTTATTGAAAGTAATTTTTTACTTTACCACTGGTTCGAAAAAAACCTCTGTCCTGGGAAGAACCAGCAAGAAATCCAGCGTGATTTTTTAAAAGCATATTTTACATTAATGATTGGTAGATACAAAATTTATTTTAGAAACAGCTTGGAAGCGACCACCTCATTCCCAGGGGTTATTATCAACCATGTATTCATTTATACTATAATAACCCTTTTTATACAGTTTCAACTTAACAAAACATTTAAACTTGCTAATAGAGAGAGCCTGTACACTTTCCGGGACCCTGTTGTAATAGCGTATACATTACCCCATGAATGAATTACTGACTCTGTGGAGTCGACAAACTGGTATCACTAGCTTGTGTTTGTTCCTAGTGTTTACAGAATGTACATCACTTTTTTTACTAAAACTATCTTTGTTTTTGTGAACATACATTAAATTTTCGTAAATATACTGAGAGGCTAAAGTTAATATATTTATTTCTTTAAATTTATCTGTAAGAGACTCTTTCAGTTTTAGGTTGTAAGTAGATCTAATGGCCCTTTTCTGTAAAACAAAAATAGTTACTGGATCAGCCGCATTTCCCTATAGCAAAATTCCATAAGACATTATGCTATGGAAATAACTGAAATAAACTAATCTAGCTGTCTCGACACTAGTGAGACCTCTAATCTTTTTTACAGATAGGCTGCAGAACTTAGTCTGCTTACTAGTTTGGACATATGGGGGCCCCACTGAAGCTTTGCGTCGAGAGTGATGCTAAGAAAAACAGTGGATTCAACAGGGCTCAGTTCTTTCCCATTTAAAAACATATTGGTACTCAAATTTTTAACATTCGTTGTTGTAAATTTAATACATTTAGTTTTATTTCCGCTTAAATGTAGATTATTAACGTTAAACCAATGCACTAATTTTGATATAGCATTATTCACTTCGTCACATTTAAATAATTGACGTTTAAGTTTAAAAATCAAGGAAGTATCATTAGCAAATAATATTATATCATGATTATCCCCTACAAGAGAAGGTAAGTTATTAATATACACTAGAAATAGGAATGGACCGAGAATGGAGCCCTGAGGGACACCCATTAGTACAGGTGACCCGGAAGAACTTTTACCATTGATAATAACTTTCTGCATTCTATTACTTAAATATGAAATAATAAGTTTAAGCGCTGTGTTCTTGACACTATAATACTGTAGCTTCCTGATTAATGTCTCATGGTGAACGCAGTCGAAGGCCTTGGAAAGGTCACAAAATATACCCAAAGCATCCTCTGAATTCTCCCATGCACAAAAAATATGTTTAATAAGCTCAATTTGTATTTACGCTATGTTGTTTCTACTGCGGATATTCTCATTTTTTCTAAGTTTATCACGCAGAGAAATCCCACTAAGCTCGAATTTATCTTTGGACATGTAAAATATATCTAAGTTCGAGAATTCAATATTATATATTGAACAAATCCGAGTCAAGGGTGAGTTTCTTGCATAGTTAAAATTTCGAGCGTTGGGAGCGAATAATGGGGCGTGTCTTGTACGCTTCTTGGGTACATTTACATTTTTTGCAGATAGTGAAACCGGGGAATCTAGGTAGCCATTAGCTATATTAAACAAAAACATCATATCTAATGGCGCGTCTCCACCAAAGTTTGGCTGTCAACACAACATTTGCCAACACATTTTGTCAACAAATGTTTCTGTCAACAAGCGTCTCCACCGAGGGAACAAATGTCGGCAACAAGCGTATTCCTTTGATGTTGCCGCCGAAAATCGAAACAAGTTTTGTTGGAAAATGTTGTGTTGACAACAAAACTTTGGTGGCGATGCGCCATAAGACAGTACGTCTATTTTCTAAGGACGTTACTAACTTTATGATTTCGGCAGCCTGTAACATAATCAGAATAAGCGTGAGTGAGTTCTTTAATTCCTTATAAACTTTGCCTGAACACTTTCAATTTGTTGTTTGTGGGTATATATATATATATATATATATATATATATATATATAATAGGGAGACCAAATACTACTTGCGTTTTCTAAAACGGTTCGAACGCACGCTTAGTAAATATGTACTTTTAATACAGTTTATGTCTAAAAAAGGTTTGCTAATACGTAGAACAAATCCTAGTTTTTTGTAAGCTTTTTGCGCTATAGTATCTACGTGTTTTGTCATTGTCAGTTTCTTGTCAAGTGTAATGCCTAAATCAAAGAGAATATAACCACTACGGCCTAAATCACGAACTTCATCTACTTCTTCAACTGGGATGTTATTTATACTATATGTAAATTTTATAGGTTTATTTTTTAATTATATTATTAACAGAGTAATAATACGACAGTTTATTTAAAGTGTTTTGAAGAGTAAGGCAGTCTTGAAATTTATTAATTTTATAAAAGATCGTTTTATCATCCGCATATAAAACATAGTTTGTGGAGTCAAAACAGGTGAATATGTCATATATATATATATATATATATATATATATATATATATATCATCATCATCATTACAGCCCTTCACAAGTCCACTGCTGAACATAGGCCTCCCCCAAAGAATGCCACAAAGCACGGTCCTGAGCCACCTGCATCCATCGACATATATATATATATATATATATATATATATATATATATATATATATATATAAAATATATATATATATATATATATATATATATATATATATATATATATATATATATATATATATATATATATATATATGCATTGTATAATAATAGACCTAGATGAGATCCCGGAGGGAATATTTATGGAGTTAGACCTGTATGAACCAACTACTACGGCCTGAGATCTGTTCGAAAGATAGAATTTTACCCAACGTAACAAGTCTCCATGTATTCCCAATCTTTCTAGTTTGGCGAGCAAGATAACGTGGTCCACGCGACCAAAGGTTTTTTCGAAGTCTGTATACACAACGTCAACTTGCCTCCCACGTTCCA